GTTGAAGCTCAGCAGGCCTTGCCTTCCTCTCAAGTCTTTGAAAAAGGGATAGCTAGACGGGGGCATGGCTGGTCTGAGTGACTTGTGCTATTGCCGGGTGATCGGGAAGGACGGGGCAGTGCCAGTGATCGGTTGGGCAGTGGAAGCAGCTGACGACGAAATCGTTCTGGCGACGACCTCCGACCTTTCATCCTTAGAGCATACCTCGAAAGCCAAAGTGGGCCAGCAGACCGTTTCCTTTGTGCGAGTGGGGCAGAACACAGCGAGCTTGGAAACACCCGCTGGATGGGGCGGGTTGAAGCCGAAAGATCTAGCTCCATTGGACGTTTGCCAGAGTGCTTGGAAGAAGGTGAAGGACAGCGAGCTTTTGAGCAGCGAAGCAGAAGCTACCAAGGTCAGAAAGCCAAAGGCTCAAAAGGGAAAGGGCTCTTTAGCTGCCGATTTGAGTCAGCTCAGGGGTCTCTTCGGGGAGGGGGATTCGGAAGGGGAGGAGGAGAGCGACAGCGAGGGAGACTTGGCCTTCCCTCCGCGCAAGGGTCAGAGCAAATATCTGCCCCCCGGGGGTTCCGGGGATCATTCGAGCGAGAAGAAGAAGAAGAGCAAGGGCGAGGGCGACCTGGTCAAGCAGATGCTCGTGAAGAACCTCGCGGATGGAAAGGATGCCAACGAGATGCTCCCGGCGGTGCTCATGGCGATGCTCTTGGACAAGGACAAGGGCAAGGAATCTCGACGCGGTCGGGGGGCTTCATCCAGCGACTACCTCGAGCTCCATGGTGGCTCCGACTCCGACGAGAGCGATGCCGACGAGGACAAGGCCAAGGGCATGAAGGCGGTGGAGCTTCTTCATCGACTTCATCGAAGCATTCGGCGACACCCCAAGAGGGTGTGCGAGCAGTTCGAGAAGGAGGTGATCGAGGACCTCGGCATCGTGAAGGGCCAGGCTTGGACATTGAAGGATTACGTGAGGAAGCAGCAGTGGGGAAAGTTCAAGGGACTTTACAGGACGGCCATCATGGATGTAGAGGTGTACGAGCTGCTGAGGAGCAATCAGCCGGACGTTGCCGCGGCGCAGGTGATTCAGAACTTAAAGTCCAAGATGCAGGCAGTGATGCAGGGCGGCGATTGGGGCTCGGCTTGGTTGCTTACGGGTCTTCCGGATCCGCTTATGAAGCGGGAGTTCGCGGGATCACGGCAGGAGATGTCCATCATATCAGGGTACCTGGATGCTGTGCATCGTCTGCAGAAGCGGGTGCGGGAGAGCAAGGGTCTTGCGGGCCATCACGGCGAGGAGGACGAGGAAAGCGGGGCCGCGGGGGCGGCCACCAAGAAGTGAATCCCTTTGTGTGCATGCAGCCTTCTCTTGCTGGTGGCCAGGTGGTTCATCCGGTTCTAGCGGGAGGTAATTCGGAGAGTTCTTTTCAGCAGTATTTTGCCTGGTTTCAAGGTGCCCAAGGTTATCTGCTGGAGCGGTCCAGCGAAGGTCCATTATTTCCATGCGCGTTGCCCTACCCGGAGGCAATCCTGACTGAGGAGGTGCGGGGTGAGGCAGCTGAGGTGACGATGTGGTGGTCTAAGGCCTTTCTCAACGTGTTCATATCGTGGGGAAATTTCGTCACTTTTGGGTGTCCGGCACCCGAGGGCAGTGGGCGTGAGCCGCGGGTGAGCTATCGTGCTAGTAGGGACGCTAGGGTCTTTGCTGATAAGCTCCTCGGCGAGATGGGCGAATTCGTTTCGTATGAGCTGGTGGCTGGTCGTTTGTCGTGTGGTGGCAAGCGTTCCGTTGTAGAGTCCATGCTGGCCCAGGTTCAATGTACAGTTGGTGCAAGCTATTTTCATGACGGTGCAGCTGCAGAGGAGGCTGGATCGGTGGCATTGCCGGTGGAGGCTAGTCGGGTCGCCATTCCCAGCCAGGCTGGTATGGTGGATCCATGTCGGTGGCTCGAGGGCGAGAGGAAGGAGACGGTCCAGAACCTAGCATCCCTCCGGAAGCCCGAGTACCTTTGGGATGAGATTGTTACCGCTTGCCATAGAGTGCCTGTGCAGGAGGAGCCCGCGCTGGCCGACAGAATGCTGTCGACAGGTATGGCTGTGCTGGTGCCCGAGAAGGACTTGCCACGGGATAGTCGTGGTAACATGTTGCTCGGAGGTCTATTCTGCGTGGCTAAGAACGAGGCAGAGGACCGGCTGATTTTCGACCGGCGGCCCGAGAATGCCACCATGCATAGACTCACATGGGCACGATTGCCGGCAGGAGCATGCTTTGCGAGGCTTCTGCTTGGTCCTCAAGAGTTTCTTCGAGGTTCGGGTCATGATCTCAGGAATTATTACTACACCCTTAGGTTACCTGATGGTTGGGTTCGCTACAATGGTTTTGGTCGGCGGGTGTGTCCAAAGGTGGTGACAAAGCACGGCGGCGACCCAAAGGTCGATTACAGGCTGGCTTTTCGGGTCTTAGGAATGGGGGATAAGAACGGCTGCGACATCGCTCAGGCCGTTCATGAAGGTCTTCTTCGAAGGCACGGGGTATTGGATCCCAGCAAGACGTTGGTCTACGGTGCGCACATCCCGCAGGGAAACTTGCTGGAGGGCGTGTACCTAGACGACTTGCTCATAGCCAAGAAGTGTGAAGTTCCCTTTGTGATCCCCCTCGATGGCTCCTTCATCCCCCCTGCCGCTCAGGTCAACGATGACGATGTCATTGAGTTGCAGGCTGCGGAGGCCGCATACGAGGAGGCCGGTCTTGAACGTGCGGAGCACAAAGCTTTTCGACAACTTGTGCGATTCAAGGCTTGGGGTGCCGAGATTGACGGCATCTTGGGCAAGGCAGGTGCACCTCTCGAAGCTAGGCGTCAAGTGTGGGTCCTTATTGCTAAACTGGTTACAGGTGGTTTCGCATGCCGAGGAGTATTACAACGAGTGGTGGGGTACCTGGCCTTCATTTTCCAATATCGGCGTGAACTGTATGGTCTCTTGCATCACATGTACAAGTACTTAGCCAAGATGCCTGAGGGAAGATGGGTGCCGCTCCCGGGGCACATCCTTGATGAGCTCCGGAGCTGCGCCTTGCATTTACCGTTCGCGACTTGGAACATGAGAAAGGGCATCAGCTCCACCGTGATTGCAACCGATGCCACGCCGACCGCAGGTGGGGCTGTGACGGCAGCAGTTCCACAAGCTGTGGCCCAGGCGTTATGGCGGCACACAGAAGTGAAGGGCGCTGCAGTGCGTCTTGATCGTGATCAGGATTTCCTCTTTGGGGCCGAGGCGCCTCGTGAGGCCTCTCGCTTTGCCAGTTTGGTGTCCGAGTGCCTTTGTTGGCGTGTGGAGAGTGGTTATTCGTTCCGGCAGACCTCGCACATAAACTTGCAGGAGATGAGAGCCTTGAAAAGGGAGGTGATCAAGCTGGCCGGGGACCCAAAGAATGCGCGCACCATCTTTCTGTTCTTCAACGATTCGAGAGTCGTTTGTGGTGCTCTGGGGAAGGGGCGGTCCAGCAGTTACAAACTAAACGGAATCATTCGCACGATCATCCCTCACATCATCCTCTCCGGGATCAGCTTGGGATTGTTGTGGGTCGAAACCGAGTCGAACGTAGCTGACTATCCTTCGCGCTTTCGCCTCCTACCCCCTCCTTGCCCAGCTCCTCGATGGCTTCGCCGGCTTGGGGTGCAGGACATTTCGGAATGGGTTGGGATTGAGGTCTTCGCGGAGTCAGGCCAGATCACCTTAGCACATCGAGAGGCCGGGGTGCCAATGCTGGATCCCTGGTGCTTTGAGCGGAGTTCCACTAGCTTCGATGGGCATCTGGAGGAGCTCATGCGTGGCGGTCAGGTTCGGTGGGCCTGGCTTGCCCCGCCCTGTGGATCCTTTAGTCCGCTTCGGAATCTCGATGTAGGTGGACCTCTTCGGCGCAAAGGTGTTCCGGAGGGTGATCCGCACAACCTGGAGGTCCAGTTGGGAAACTCGCAATGGCGTTGGAGCTTGCACTTGATGAGCTTGCTCATTGAGGCTGGTGGGTTTGTCTTTCTGGTGCACCCGAAGAACAGCGTGGCCTGGCGCCTAGAGGAGACGAACCGCTTTATCCAGCAGCACAACCTTCGTCGTGTCCGGATTGACTCGTGTGCTTACCAACATCGTGGCATGCCGATTGGAGTTCTCCCAAACCTTAAACCGTGGATCATTGCTACCAACTCGCCCTGGATAGATGCTGCCGTGCTCACTTGCCCGGGGAACCATCAACATGGATCGCCTTTGAGGGGTCGGCGTGCTCAAGAAGCCGAGGCTTGCCCAACCGGGTTTTGTGAGAAGTTAGCTGATGCCCTCGTTCAATGGACGAAGGCAAGTGCCACTCCATCGGGTGGCACTAAGTGCTGAGTATCGTCGGGGCCTCCGTGAGGCCGCTGCTTGGCTTTTGGGCCGAGCGCGTGCGCTGGGAGCCAACTTATCATCGCGAACTTCTTCGAGGGTGGTGGATAGTTGGTTGGAGAAAGTGGTATGTGATAGCTATGAGCGGGGAGAACGACTTTATCGTGTGCGGTTGGGAGTCTTGGGCGTCCAACGGGCGTTGCGTCTCTCAGGGCCGCTTCTTAGGGGCACTTGGGCAGCGCTTCGCGGTTGGCGGATGATCTTGCCGGTGAACCCGAGGATCCCAATGTCAAAGTACATACTCCAAGCTGTGCTAGTGACCCTTCTGGCTACGGGGTTCCGTGAAGTGGGCCGGGCTCGTGAACAATGGTGGAGCGCTTTTGTGGGCACTTGGCTCTCCTTTGAGGGGTTGCTTAGGCCTGGTGAAATGGATAAGCTATTCATCGGTGACGTCACTTTTCCCGAGGGTGATTGGCCAACTTCTGAAGATGTAGGGTTGGTGCTGTGCATAAAGTCCCCCAAAACGCGCCGGGTGTGGAGAACGCAATTCGTTTTGATCAAGGATGCGCAGTTGATCGAATGGCTGCGATGGTGGTGCCAAGACCGTCCCTCACACCGGAGGGTGCTTCGGGCCGGGCGGCGCGACTGGGCCAAGCGACTGAGCTTAGCGTTGGAACGTTTGGACCTAAACGACAGGGGCTTCACACTGAGCTCGTTGCGGGGGGGAGGCGCGACGCACCTTTTTCGCGTCACTGAGAACATCGCACGTGTCCAGTATCACGGGCGGTGGAGTAGACAGGAGACACTCAAGTCCTATCTTCAAGAAGGTCTCTCAACCCAAACTTTGACTACGGCCTCAGCCTCAGCACAGCAGCGACTTCGTCTTGCTCACGGGTCTTGGCACTTGTTGCGTGCACCGCCGCCTCGAAGTCTCAAAGAGCTTTTGAGGCATCCGGACGATGCCTAGCAGGTTAGCTGGGGCACTTAGGGAGCTGGCGGCTGCGTTGGAAGAGGAGGACTGGGAGCTGGTGGGCTCGAACTCTGGTGAGGACCCTGTGGTAGTGCGTGGTCCCGCCGCTGACTCTGGTAAGGACCCGGTGGCCAAGCGCGGTCCTAAAGCCAAGCCTGCTGCTGCGCGGCAGACGACCACCTCCTCGGCTGCCAGTTCTTCCCGCTCTTCGGTGTCTCGGGTGGAGCGTGCTAGTGCTGTTCGTGGTGACGCGGTGGACACTACAGCTTCATCCAACGTGTATCATCAGGATATCCGGACCTATCTTGTCCTGTCGAACCCCCTTGAGCCGAGCTTCGTTGGGTGGGTTCAGGGCCCTGCGTCGGTGGTATGGCCCAGGTTGGAAGCCAGACTCCCGGGAGGCCAACTCTTCGGCTCTCGCGTTCGGTTGCGGAAGGTCGCGGACGTGGACGCGGCGCAGAACCTGTGGAACCAACACCGTCCCGGAGTGCCGCTGCCAAAACTCCCGCTGTGAGGGCGGAAGCGGAGGAAGCTGCGACTGTGGAGGACACCGCCGCTGCTGCAGCTACTCTCCTTGAGGCGGTGCAAACGGCGGCTCAACAACTGGGCGACGCGGAGGTGGCCGAGGGCCAGACAGCGCAAGAAGTCTTGCAGGACCAGGCGAGCCTACAGGCGGCCAGCCGCTGGAGGGCTGGAGGGGCAGCTCGCAAGCTCACCGCAGTGCTGGCTCGTTTAACTACGTCTTTGCAGAGCTGGACTTCTTTGTCAAGGAGGCCGCAGTCGACTCCCGGACGCGTGGTGCCTGCTGAACGACCTCGGCCTCTAATCAGGGCGCCCGCTGCCGCGCAACCAGCCCGCCTACAGCAGCCGAGCTGGTGGAGCAGAGTGGCGCCCTGTCGTTTGTGGACCTTCTTCGCCCTGGCACTGGCTCTTTGCTTTCCACGAGTGGTGGCACTCACCGTCGCTCTCTTCTGCAAGCTGGTGATCCGTGGTATGGTGGCCCTCATCGTCTACTTTGGCCGAGAGCTCTACTTTCAGCTCTCGGTGTCGCTTGCTGAAGTCGAGAACTCGCTTGTGGAGTGGTTGGCGACGCAGCTGAGTGGTGGGGGCGCAGGGCCCCCGCCGCTTCTTCAAGCTCCTCCCGGGCAACAACAACAACAACCTCAGCAGCCGCGTCTTGAACCTGGAGTAGTTCCCCACCCAACCCGCCCTTTGGACCTTGTGACTGTGGTGCTCCTCGCGTGGAACGTGTACCAGGGCTTGCCAGTACGGGGAGGTGCGGGAGTTCCAGGAGGGTGATGGTCTTTCTTTACCATCGCTTTTGTGGGCTCGGGCGGCAGCCTTCCGAACAAGGATGCCTTTCTTGCCATCTTTGCAGTGCCTGCCTTCGTCTACGGCACTTCTGAGTATCGGATTTCTATGAACCTCGATTGACACCTGCCAGGTCAAGAGAA